GACCCCCTCCCCCCGGCCATGACCCACCACAGATTTGGACGATTCGACCAATTGCTTATCACCTCCCGTTCGTTTCCCTTAGGGGACAGGGCGCATAGCCCCCGATCTAGAAACTTGATCCCACTTGCCCACAAGCACCCAGAAATAGAAGGCTAACCTTTTGGGGCCACGAAAATGAAAATGGGCCAAAATGGGAAAACTATGGGAAAACCATATTTGTCAGCAAGGGGGCTTCCCATGTCTGAGGCCTTCCCTTTTGGCTTCCCCTTACAGCCCCCGGGTTGGGTTCCTGCCGTAACCCCCCCCCCCGGCCCCCCCGCCGGACCCCAGAAAAACGCCTCGCAGGGGTGGTGGGAGTCGCCATCGGCACCATAGGCGTGGCCGGCACCCGCAGCGTCCTCGAGCGACGGACCGCTGTCAACCCGCGCCGGGCACCCTCGCACCAAGCGTGGAACCTGACGTGTCGGGGTCCAAACGTTTGGACCCCTCCTGTGGGCTTCATGTGAATTGGTGCCAGAAGGCAATACCTGCGGTATCTGAGATAGTTACCAAAAACACACTGAGGTTCAAGCTGCATTTTTCTAAGACCCAACCTGACCCAAAGCTGCTTGACATAGAACAAGTCTTCCAAACAAATGCAGCATGTATGGCCTTTGTGTTCCATTTCTTAGGGCAGCTTTGCTCATGCATACGTCCACACGGACATCCGCCTCGCAGATGTTCTCACAATCCAACGCTCCACGATGCGCAGCCCCAGCAAGAATTAAAGAATGTTAGAACAGATACAAGGGAAAGGGTAAGTGCCCTTTGATTCTTTGGGTTACACCCCTTTGGGAAGAGAAGCCATTGCGGCAGACTGAGTGCAACCCTCTGGATGAGTATGATAATGCACACCCTGCATTAAGGTGGCCGATGTTCAAGGGCCCTGTTTCGGGGCAAAAGGTGTACGACTCCGTAGCCAAGGGACAGGGCCGGAGTGGCCGGGACAATCATCAGCGGCGCCGTCTGAGCGGCGGCCTCCTGACAAGCGGAGGGAGTTTGAATTTTGACGTTCTGTGGACTGTTGGGAAAGGACGCCCATACCAGTTGACTGGCGTATGTGTTTTCACGCCATGGAAACGGCACCAAGACCTCCAAGTGATCATTCCATGGGGCGAAAAAGGCGCCCATGTGTTGGCAGAACCTCCCCCCCCCCACCAACAATTAGCAAAGGAAACGTGGGAAGCGCTGAGAGTGCAGCGGTGCACCCCCAATGGCCACAAACCATGCGTATGGTCGACAAAGGGAGCGTTCCAGCGTATGTACCCCCAACCCGAGCAGCATACACGACCTTGCCCCTGTCAAGGTCACAGTCCATGTAAAGATGCACATAGGCATATCTGGCTCAGTCTTAAGCATGGGCCCTTACCTGCAGTTGAAACAAGTGATGCTGCAGTGGGGATCATCATTCCAGGGTTTCTTAGGTCGTGCGAAATGGATTTCGTCCATCCACAGTATGAACCCCTCCCGGAGCCATCTTGGCCTGCAGCTCCAGCTCGGCGACGCCTTTCTCGGCCGGCGGGGTCATGAGGCCGTCGTCCTGCGCTCGACGGAGCTCAGTTCGGGTTTCCGGACACGCGAAGATGGTCTGGGACTTAGCCAAGTGCAGAGCAACCCGAGTTGCAACCCGAAAACCATGGTTGTAAGTGCCCCATAACCAGGAGTATTACCCTTTTAGCTAAGTCCCAGAACATCTAAGCGGCGGAACTCCGGCGTTTTGGTGCCAAAGCAAGTCATGTGGATGGTTGAGAGGTCCGTTTCGCGCACAAGAAACCATGGTTACAACCATTGCCCGTTGGTATTTACAAGGGAATCAGGGTTTCTTAGGTGGCGCAGGGTTTCGAACCTCCACACCAGACTGAGATGTTGGGCCCTGAAGGTGGGTTGCCGTGCAGGTTTTCGCCGCGACAAGTCGAGGCAGGCAGTGCATCGGTGGCCATTCGCCACCGAACGACGGCAAAGAGCTCAGCCCCCAAACCAGGCCGAGAATCTCGAAGAGACCTTTCCCCCGCACAGCTTTGAAGAACCCAAAAGCGTTCCAAGCACCTCGGTTGAATACCTTTTAATACGTTTTAATACTTACAAATGATGTCCATCCTTCTTTGCGCAGGCATCAGTTGCAGGTTCGTTTGCCTTTTCCTATCGCCCTCCTGTTCATTTAGGCTGAAGTGCGACTCTGATCAGTACATTCCTGAATGCTGAGCAGAGGTTCCCACGCCCTGAAGAATTGTTGTTGGAGTGTTTGGGGGGGGGTTTACTCCGACGGCTCTGACTGCCGCCCCCCCCCACCCCAAGGCCCCCCCCCCCGCCCACCCCCGCCCAACCCCACCTTCCTCCCCCCACCCCGCCTTCCTCCCCCACACCACACCCCCCACCCACCCCTCACCCCACCAGGCTCCTGAGGCGGTGTTTTTGGGGGCGTCCACACCACGTTCTCCGTCCGCACGTCCACCACAGCCACTGGCAAGGTCCAGCGGGTCAGCCTCCCCTCGGTTGTGGCACTCCAGCTGTCTCCAATTTTTCCTCCCCCCCAAACTGGCCTTATGAGTTTACCATTGTCAAAGTCACCCTCGAAGTGGTGGTTTAAAGGGAAACCAGCCCGGTTTCTGACTTTAATAACCCTTAGACACGGTCAAAATAATGGCCCCCAGCCAAAGGAAAATGAGCGGGCTGTTGTTCTTTGCGTCCCCTCCAGCCCAACAAGCATATCAAATAAAGACGCCCAGACCCCACAAGGATGCCGCGTCCATCACATGGCCCAACGGATTGCTGCTATGTATCTTTGTTTTTAATTGTTTCCGCAAAAGCATCATTTTCTAAAAACAGCATCATTTTCTAAAGGACCTTCGAGGGAAGATTGGGACCCCTGTCACTTGGTGCCCTTGGTGTCCGATTCAGGAGCTGCCAGTCAATAGACGCCTTGCGGAGAATAAGGAAAGCTCGCAAACCGTCAATGGCTGGATGGGGGTAACTTTTCTTCAAAGCTGTCAGATGCCAATTGCATTTGCAGGGCTGATGTCCGTACCAGATATAAGCAAAAGGATTGCTCCGAGAATGGGCCCATTATCAAGGCAGAAATGAGCGGCTTGCTGTTAGCGACCTTCCAACCCAAACGGACTTCCACAGCCCCCCGCCCGCGCAGCTGCGTCCAAGAAGCATCGCTGGTCTGGTAGAAGGTCAAGCCTGCTCGGGACTGGCTCACGCGCCAGCCCTGAATCACCACTGGAGCCTCCTGGCCAGAAAGGAGAGGCAGAAGGGGACACGTCTTTGGCTTGGACGGCCCAATCCCAGTTGCCTGGAGGGAGCCTTTTTTGGTTGTGCGCTGTCTCTTTGCCAAATGGGCTCCATGCTTGCATGGGTGGCTGCATCCTTCCATAGCTGAGAAAGCGTTCACCACCCCTTTGTTTTATGCCCCGCTGATTGCTCACAGTACGGAAAACACATTACCCAACCTGCCAACCAACAAAACAGATTGGAAGAATGTCTTCCAACTTCCCGGTCCAAAGTGCACCATGCTTGTTGGTAAGGGGTTCGTGCCTGGCCCTGAAAGAGCACAACTCATTTGGTGGCCGCATTCGAAACAAAGGCACGGTCATCAGGGGAGGAGCCCAAGCCCCTTCTCCACCCACTGTTGTACTCTTTCCGCTCTCTTTCGCCCCTTTCCTTTTAAAAAAAATATGCCATACATTTACATTGCCTAAGAGGGGGGGTATCACACCCCGTGCTTTCCACCACCTTCATCTGCATACGCGGGTCCCGATCCCCCATACCTCCCCCCATGCCTCCCCCGCACGTCCGGCCTTGAGAGCTTCCACGATGGGCTTCAGGTCCGGCACTTGCAGAACTTGATCCAGGGCCTGCCGCGCGAAAGCGGGGGAGGGGCCCGGAGAGCGTTTGGGGGGGGGGGGGGATGTCCGTCTAAGAACACACACGAAAAGAGGGTTCACCTGGTGGGTTCCCTCTAAAAAAACACACACACACACACACACACACACCAAAAAAAAACAGAAGTCGACATTTTGAGACACCTCTATAACGCTATATGGGCGCGTCGCTTTGAAGATATCCTTTTGGGAATGCGTTGAAACGGTAAGCCAAGGAAAACTTGATCATTTCGTTGGGGCCGGCGTTTGTAAGACACACACCCGCACCTGAGCGTTGCCCACAGACCTCCTTGGATCATCCCCAACAACCTCATAAAGGGGAACGGGCCGGGGGAAATAGAAGCAATGAAGAAACACGGGTCCCCCGAAATGCCAGGACTGAGCATCTCCCATCTCCAGGGTAGCGCCAGGCGCCTTGTAGGTGGCGTGGCCTCAGGCGATCGCCAATCTCTCTCTCGCTCTCCCTCTCGAATCGCCCGGGACAAAGTGGGGACCTGAAAAACACGTGGCGCTTTGCAGCCAACTTGGCTTCCAACTCAAAAACGCGCACCGCCCTGGGCAAAGGAGGATAGTTCACCCAACCGAACATCAGAAACGGATCCCCAGTGAACACTTGGCCGCCACATGCGCCAAAACCTCAACGTGACGTCAAGATTCACCTGGGCCCCGTCCTCAGATCCCCAAACCTAAAGGTTCAACTCTTGGTGGGTTTGGATGGAAACTGCCACCACTACCCTTTTTTCCTTGTCGATTTTAGGGGAACCCTCCCCCAAAAAGAGAAACGGTAAAAGGGCACTACTGGGGGACCTAGACTCAATACACCCAAAAAAAAAAAACGCTAAAACGCTAAGGGGACGGCCAGGAACCACCAAGCAACGGTTCAGCTCCCGCCGAGTGGCTGGCCAGCACCTGGTTCTCCAGACCCTCCGCCGAGAAATCCAGCAGCTCCACGAGCCACTGCCGCACCATGGCGTGCCTCGAAGCGGGCGAGGCGCGCCCCCCCCCCCCGGTGCAACTGTCGTTGGCTCGTGGAAATTAGGAAGATCCTAAACAGTAGAGAAGTTAAAGCTGGAAAAATGTCCTTACAGAACTCCAGCTCCTTAGCTCCGTATTTAAAAGCAAATTTGGATACCCCAAGCTCCTTGGCTCCCTTCCAACCAGCTACCCCTCATGTATATTGTCACCAATAGATATAACCTGCTTACTTGGTGGGTTGAACACCCAAGAGTAGTCGTGATGTTGCCATTGGAACGCCCAAGAATTCTCAAGCGTCCATTCAAAAACTTGGCACATCAAGCCTCAACGGAACAACTAGCAAAGGTTGCCATCTCCCACCAACATAAAAGTAAAGACCGTTCATGCCAAATCCCCCACCTCCCCCTCCCGCAAGGCCGAAGTATGAGACCAGCGGGATAAGGGGGAGTTGAGCACAAAATCCTGGGCGAGTCCCAGGTCACTTAGGCGGCTGTCAAAACACCGGAACTGGGCATATCTTAACAGCATGCTTCCCAAGAAAATCCTCCTGGCGCGTGAATATTGACAAGTGCCCAGTTGCCTCCCACCTGCCACGCGCGTCAAAGCACTGCGGGCCCTTTGAAGACGGAATTTGTGTGGCGCGCGCGCTGGTCGCCTCAAAAGATGACAGCAAAGAAATTGCATCTCATGGGCCTTGGACTGATTCAACTTCAAGAGCACCCAGTGCCCAGAGGCCCTTGGCCCAACCGCTCTACACTAAAAGGAACCTTTTTGTGTGTGGCGAACCCTGTGAACAAAAAGTTAAAAGTGGAAAAGGAACCACTGGGACTACTATGAGGGCCTCGAAAAATTCGAGAGAGATTGTGGAGTGCTTGCAAGTGAAATCACTTCATGAGCATTGGAACAAATTGCGAGTACAGGGATCCATCAGGGCAACATTCCCCAAAATCCATCTGGCTCTTCTGCCTCCAGGTCGGGGTGAGCTTCTGTTTTCGTAAGACTCTCCCGTAGGAATCCGCAAGCGTTCCCCCGAGCCGCTGCAGAGCTGACGCTCGGCCGGCCCGGCTCCTTGGCACTGGCGCCGTTTTGCGTGCTGGAAATGACTTGCCAAGCCAGCCCAGGTCGAGGCCAAACTATGCACGGCCCCCGCAAAGGGAAACCAACCGGTGGTGGTGAAAACAGAATATTCAAGCAGCATGAAGCTTCTGGAATGGCCTCCATCAGAATTTCTCGGTTGTTCAAGGGCCTGTCTCCAACAACCACCTGCAGCGAGCTTATGTTGCGGTTTGATTCATCTTCGCAGGGCAGCCACCCGCGCAGCTTCCGTTTGAACTGACGGACACTCATGTGTGGCAACACTTCGACCAATCCCTCCCCCCCAGACAAATGTCGCACCGTAATCTGTCTTGCCATGGCAGATTTCTTGGCTGCCAACTGCTGCTGAAATGGTTCTGGTAAACTGGCTTCTGCCTTGGCTAAACTCTTGCTGGCTGACCTCGTTTCAGCTCGAATGTTCCGGATGCGGGTTGGCCCAAGTGCAGCCACTTGCTCCCGAGGAAATTGCAGTGGCAGTTGGCAAATTGAATTGTCGCCTTCCCCCCAATCCTGCTTGCCCACACACCCTCTTTTGAGATTGATTTCAAGTGTGAGCTCATCAAAAGAGGCACAGAATTAATTCTTGTTTAAATACAATAAAACTGTTCTGGTGTCCGTTGCTCTTCTTGGGTGCAAAAACACTGCCTTCTTGCCACCAGCGGCGAGCCACAACGCGTCACGGTCACGCCGTTGTTGAAAATCCGGATGTGATAGATCAACAGTGAGCATTGGAAGGAACAAACCTGCTATCCAACCCTCACCCCACCCACACCCCACCCACACCTTATCGAATTCTTGGGCTAATCGGCTCATGTTTGAATTCAATGGATCACACTCATCTTCATCAATGTTTGGAGGCCGCCAACGAGGCGAACTTGCCGTTGGCGTCCATTGAAATGCTGCTCACCAAAAGAAAGGGCCCCAGCCGAAAAGACCCCACTCTCTGCCCAGCCGGAGACTTGACGGAGCATCAACCCCACCATGGCATAGGGTCAGCTTCCCTGTAGTTAGGGGCCGTTTCGACTCACCCCCTGTTGCAATCCCAAACCCAATCAAGAACACCAACCTGGCAGGGCTGCGTCGGTTTTTGAGCTGCCACCTTCAAGCAATTCATCTTCGTCGAGGCTTGTTGTGAAAAGGAGCCACACGGGGAGGTGAGCGCCCTTCCAGAAAGGGAGCTGCTTTTGAACAGCAAAAAGGGAAAACCACACATAGACAACCCGCCTGGAAGCTTCTCAAATCAGAGAACTCCTTTTTTGGTGTGGCAAGGGAATCCAAAAGGAAACCAACCATTGCCCTGGCATAGGGGGTGGGATTCGGGTGGATTTGTGGTGGGTTTATGGAAGGTTGAGGGTGTGTGTTAGGGCTTGTTTCGTGTGGGTTTGGGGCGAAATCACACAAAAGGCCGCAAAGGCGCCAAAAAAAGCACAAAGCCGCAAAAGCCAAAAGTTCAGCCCGGACTGTTTAAAACCAAAAGCCAAAACGAATCCCGAGAAAAAGAAGAAGAAAAAGAAAAAAACGGCCCCACCGCCTTAGTGGACCCTCTCTTCCAGAGGATGTCTGCATTGGTATCGGGCCCCTTTCTTCTTCCAGAAATCATGGAATCTGTCCACGCTTTCCCTTGAATCTATCAAAGGGCAAGTCGACGTCGTGCCAACAAAAAGGGTCCAAACGCCCAAGCTGCACCCAAACCACCCGCAACCACATCCAATCCCGGCTGGCACCAACCAAGAAGGGCTGCGGCTGAGGCGCAAGTAGTTCCTCGGCGGAACTCAGCGGCCAGATCCTACTGTGATCGCCATGTCTTCTAGGTCCTCCAGTAGAGAGGCTAGAAAGGGTACCCTTTTTTCTGTAGTCTATTTTTGTGGGGGGACCCTCCCCCAAAAAAGGGTAAAAGTGCACTACTGGGAGACATAGTCTTGGAGCCACCAAAGTCCGTGGTCCGAAAAGGGAACAGCCCGGAAAGGAGACCAAAAGATCCAAAGCTTTGGCCAGTCTCCTGTGGACTGCACTCTGCGTGAAGTTCCCCGGCCAAGTTTGGTGGAAGTCTTTCGCACATCTTCACAAGTCCAGGTGGCTTTGCCGCTGGGACAAATGGAATCTCAAAGAAGCCTCTTCACTTGTTTGCCTTTCGACCCTCTAAGAGCAAGCCCCCACCCAGACCGCACCACGGGAGAACCAAAAGGCCAAAAGGTCAGCGTTGGAGCATGTTGACCCCAGATAAATTTCAATAGGGGGTGTCCCTGGGTTTTGTGGAGAATCATAGGTGAACCCACACTTGGTACCCACTCACTGAGTCGGTTGAACATGACTTGTCAAAATAAGGGGGCCCAAGCATTGCATGTTTGATTGGCTTCCTTTAGGTTCCCTTTAAACCACCCGGAAATCCCGTAACCTCCAAGCAGGTAGGGGACGTTCTTCCCCATGCTCCGAGTCCGAGTGGCTCCACCAGTGTGAGCCTGGCCACATGGTGTTGCAGCCGCACTTGCGCCTGGCAGTTGCTTGCGGATAGTTTGGCTCCTTTCTTTCATTTGACTTCGGTCACTCGGGGTCCATAGGTGTCCTTTTGAGGGAAATAGATGGCCAAATGGAACCGCTCCAAATGGCCATGGGTCAAAAGCCAAATCGTACCCCCAGTGAACATCCCAATCCCCACTAAAATGGACTAGAATGGGTGGTGCGCCTGCCCCAAAATGGTACCGTTGGTTTTGACCCACAGCCATTTGACTGTGGTGCTTAAGCTACCAAGTGGCTTGGGTCACTCGGGACCCTCCTTAAGCTACCAAGTGGCTTGAACATAGGTGTCCTTTTAGGGGAAATAGATGGCCCTGGTGGATGCTTAAACCACCAGGTAAACCAGGGCTATCTATTTTCCTACCAAAACAACTAAAAAAGAAACCTATGGGCTTGAACCCAAGCTTCATGGCTTTTCGGGCATTCGTGAGGATGCTTTCTCCAGATGGGCCCGAGCCATTGACCGCCCACGGATCTCGACCACACCCCGGCCCCCTCGGAACAATATGCAGGAAACCAACGGTAACCATAGTACCCAAAAAACACCAGCGGGCATTCCCAAAAAGCGGCCCAATAGCTTCATTGCCCACTGGGTCTTCAAGCCACTTGTAGGTTTCAGCCAAGGCAAGGGGACTCACCAGAAACACCTCTCATCACCATGGTGATAACTTGATAACCTACTAAGTAAGTTGGTTGAACATCTTCCATTTGCTTAAGCCCCCTGGGAAAAATAAACATATGTCCGGTCCAATAGTGTGATAGGTTCCCATTCCAAACCAACAACAAAACATATTCAGCAAGTGGAAGACGTCCAAGAAGCGGGTTCAACTGCTTCACCCCCCCCCCCCCCCAACTCCCCAAGGGCCATCCGGTAAGCGGCCTTGACCGCCTCAGTGTGGTGGCCCTTCATGGCATTCTGCTTTTCAGGTGGCAGGGCCTCGCTCCAGTTGCGTGACCGGACAAGGAGGCCCCCGTTTTGGGGAAGGGTTCCCCCTTTTTCTCTCGGCGCCTTGCTTCTACGGTCCAGTTGGGGGTTCAGCTCTTTTACTCGAGCAGTGACAGGAGGCCCCTGTTCAGGGTTGACCTCTTTTTTTCCTTAGCGGCTGCTCCTCCCCACGAGAAGAATCACAGAGCTAGGAACCTTCAGCGAGCTGCAAAAAGATAGGCCCTTGGCCTAATCACTGCACCACAGCCAAATAGAAAGGATCAGCCGCTTTTACTCACAGCCTAGAGTCTAGAGCCTCAATTAGACTGGGCTGTTCAAAATGGAGGGTTGGCCAAGCCTAATCCATAATCCACGACAAAAGGGGCCCCTTGCGTAACCAAACATAAGGATTAAGGATTCCCTTTGAACAGCCGAGCTGAAGCACGGGCTTGGCCTGCCCTTTTCCAAGCCGTAGACTGGTCATGAGAGACACCCGGGGAAGCTCAGACAAGGTGCCAGATCCTCTTGGTTTTCGAACTCCATTTGCAGCACCTTCTGCACGCCCTTCCTGAGTTGCAGCGTCATGGATGTTCCACCCACTTTGAGGTTACACTAAGGAGACTATTAACTCTGCTGCGGGCTCCGAGCGAATGGGGGTGAATCCAAAACTCGAGCCGTTCCCCTGTTCAACAAATGTATGCAAACGTACATAGGTTGCCTCTAACGTTTCAAAAGTTGATTGCAAACTGCTCGTAGGCTTGGGCGCAACCCCAAGCCGGGAAATGTGGAATAACAGGAGCAGGCGTCGAAGCCGTTTACTGACAACAGGATAGCACCACGGGCCCGATTTACGAAGCAAGCGTTACTCACAAAAACCAAGAGATGCCCTGCCCCCCAGTGCCCAGGAACGCTGGAAGAAAAAGGGACTCCTTGTTTGGGGCTGTCACCTTTGGTGGGGAACCACCAACCAAGGCCCAAAGAGCATCACTAATCAACAGAAAGCCCCCTCATTCCTTGACAGAACCCTCATCTGAGAAAGGGGTTCTGCTCGAAGGGTTCCAAGTTCTAAGTACCATTCTGCTGGCTAGGGGGCCCTGAATTGTTGGCTCTGACCACTGAACCACTAGAAATCTGAGCACCTCGTGCCCTGCCATTTTTCCCACTCGCCTCATGTCTGTGCGGCGCGAAAATCCGGGCCTAACAGCGGAATCCGGGCCTGGGGCTGTCTGTCGGAATGCAACTCGCGACCCTTCCAAAAGGCCGAGATTCGGCCAATTATACGGTCCGAAACCCAAAACAAAGGATCCGCAGGAGGACCTGAGGAGATTCTAGGCTTATTCTAGGCAGTGACGTTTCTTTGGGGTGCGCCAGATTGATAAGAAGTGCCCTCGCAAGCCTGCCGCGGGATGTTCCGGGTTTCCTTGCGTGCAATCCTGTGGAAAGGACGCAGGCCCTTCTTGCCACTTGGCAAACCGGGTGCTTTTTTCGCCCCAAGGTCAGGGGATCATGTATGCTCATTGCACGCCCAGGTCAGGAAACCAAAGTTTTAATCAACCTGCAAGTTCTACAACACCTCCAAGACCTGACAAATCGAAATTTAGTACCCTTCAATGGGACCTTTGTGCATTATGCATGTATGTCGCTTTTCTCCTAAATGAGCCCACAACTAGGCAAAAATCCATTCTGGCCGACCCCCAGGGCCGGACCGAGGGCCCAGGCCTCTGTGATCAATGGCCAGTTCCAGACATGGCAAGGCAGGCCCTGAACCACGTACAACGTACACGTCTCTTTCTGTTGATGCTTTCCATCCCCAAACCACCCAAGCATAGGTGTCCTTTTTGGGAAAATAGATGGCGGTAGTTGACTGAACCACCAGGTAAACCAGCCCTCTATGTTTCAACCAAATCAACCAAAAAGGACACCTATGCACCCAAGGGGACGGCGTTATTCTTTGTGGTTTATGCCGATAGTGACAAAAGAGTAGCGGCATATCCCGTTCAAATCTGCGAGGTCGTGGTTCTGGATGAATGTAAGAATGATACCACAGATCGGGCCTCGCCGCAATGTCACACGTTCAGACATCCGGGCAAAAGACACATGCAAAGTTGCATAGCTAAACATTTTGCATATCGTGGGAGGGTGCCATCTAGACCCTGATAAAAAGGAAATCCTGTCTCTTAAAATTGAGGGTGGAGGGGGAGCCTCACAAAATGGTTGTTTACCTGTCGGCGTCCATTTAACTTAGCCCCAAAAAGGATAAAAGATACCGTGTCGAGCAGGCGGCCTTGGATGCCTGAAAAGGCGTAGGGGTGAAACACATCTTTCCCACGGCCATGCTAAGAAAAACTGGCCGCAGCCCTTCACGATGCTGAGCCTCAAGCCCCTGGAAAAATTATCAAATATGTCCAGTAGTTGGAGATTCCCTTAAACCAACAAGGAACTTAAAATTATTCTCAAGCAAGTAGAAGATGAAATGAACAAATACACATCCTGCTTAAAATCAACCTCGAGTCAAATTGCAGCTCAGCGATCGTGGCATTGCCACCATGGGCATTACAAATTACTACAGGCGCCTCTTTACAATTTGGGACTTTTGGACGCGCCTGCATGCTCCAACGTTCGCAGTGTCACAGCATTAGGTTTTGAAAGCAATGATTCAACCCATTTCTGGCGGGCGCGAACTGTGCGCGCGAAGTGAGCTCTCTGTGGGCACCCTCGCGCCACTCCACTCGCCCTTCAGAAAATCAGGTGAGACTAGCTGCCGCCCTTGACTGCAAGCGGTCGGCCATCCAAGGGCCCATTGACACGTACCCTGCGAGTGCAAGAAACATCAGACAACAGAGGCAGAAAGGCACAAAAGGTACAAACAATGGTATGTGCCGCAAAACCATCTTTTTCTCAGGATCATGCTAGAGGAACCCACCCAGGGTGACACCACGTGGTTAGGCCCCCAAATGCCCACTGCTCAGCGGTAGGCGCGCAGGGTGACGCAAAGCCCCACGATGGCAACAGCGCACAGGATCCTTGGAGAGTCGCAGGCTTGCGTGCTAAGGCACTTGAAAGCGGGGAGGAGGGGACTTCTTCGCTGAGTGGCTGGTAACCATCGCTATGACTTACCATCGCTGTACAATCCCTTGCGTGACTTCTAGCCAGGGTTGCTAAGCTCTTAGCTACCTCCGCCTAAGTAGCTTTGCAGTGCTTCTAGGCGCCAAGCCCTTCTTTGGCTTGAGCTGTAAGAGGGGAGAAACATTCAACCACCACGGGCCGAGTAAAAATGCAGTAGAGGCGTCCATTGGCACAGGATGTTTTGGGTTCCTATGTGAACGCTCCGCCTCGGCAGGATTGCAAGAACTGACGCCTGATGCGCTCGAGACTTTGAGTGAGAAAGCGCTTGCACAACCAATCACCTCTTCGAGCCAACCAGGATTGCAGTCAAATTCTGGCACCACATTGCTACAAAGCTCTACCCCAAACCGGGTAAAGCAAACAATCAAATGGCCCTTTGACCGAGGGACTGTCCCCTACTATCCTTCATCTGCCCACGTTTGATTGTGGCTCGTTTGGGAAACCTTTTCCCAAAAACGAGGCCAGAGTACCTGCTACCCTGCAAACCCTACTGTAAGCCCTCATCAAAAAGCCTTTGCGCCTGTCACGGAATTTGGCCCTGTTGGTATGTCACGCTTGCTGCCCAAACCGCCCGAGTCAAACGCACCTTTGCTTGTTGGTTGCCTGGGTTGGTCATGAACCCTCCGGCGGCTAGAGGCTTCATGACCAACCCCACCAACCCCCAAGGGGCGCTCCTTGCCCAGCACCAGCCGAGCCGCTGGCGCCGCCAGTGGCTGCTACCCACCGTAACCTCGGGCTCCGCGTCATCGATCTCCCGCGGCGTGTCGGCCTGCGATGTTGCGGGCAGGGGTCGCCCATAAACGCGTGGGACGACCCTTACCAACACGCCAGAACCCAGGGGTGCTTGTACATAATCCCTCTTACATTCCCCTTGGGCAAATGAACCCCAAAGGTATGACCAAAAAGTATGTGCTTCCACCGTTACACAAGAACAAAGATCTGTCTATGCCGATGGTATGGGGCAACACCATGTTGCAGAGTCGGTCGAAGAATGGTTCCAGCAAACACCTTGTACTTTGCGCGCCACTAAACATGCGCAAACTGAGGAGGAAAAAGCCACGGGCAAAGAAGGCCTGGTGCCGGCTAACTGTTCTTGATTGAAACTGAATAGACGCGCGATTGGAGAGACTTTCCACCCGCAGTGGGCTCCAGAATGAGCCCCCTTCATAGCAGTCTCACTTGCTCACACGACCCCCAAATAAAGGAGCAACCCGCTGAGGCCCTGACTTACAGTAGGCCGAAAGAGCCATTCAAACCATTGGTGTTGAAACAGCTGCACCAGGGAATCCCTGTAGATTGAGAAAGGGGGTGGTTGCCCAACCTGGCTCGCCCAGACCTAGGACAAAGGGCGCCCTATTTGATTCAGTGGTAATTGAGTACTTGATCTTAAATTCATCATGATGAAAACCCGATTCAAAAACGGTCTACCCAGAACCATGTAAAGAGTTTTCCGACGGCAAATGTCCGCAGCTCTTGGTGGTTGAGATTCTTCCTTGCTAACCTTCAACCCTAACTTCGTCTACCCGGGTTTGATCGTGGCTCAACTGGACCCGCTCAAAGGGAGGAAAAAGGCGCCACTGGAGGTCTGGGGTGGACTCCCCTCCCCTCCGATTGACCGAGCCGGCCTTCGGGGCAGGATGGCCCTCAGGCATCTCGAGGCCTGAGACACATCGAACCCCTCGCGTTCGCCAACTTGGATGGTCAAGCCACTGGCAGGTTCAAACGTGGAAAAGGGCCGAACCCAAGTTGGGCCCGGTTTGGCATGTGCATCGCTGGCCTCTCCTCGGATCCGGCGAAAAGTGACCAACTTTTGGTGGGTTAAGTACTGAAACCCGACCACTAAACCAACTACAAACCACTAAAGAGCTCAGTTGAACCGGATGGCTGGGAGCCACCAAGACGACCTACTTACCGGTATAGCTCCCCCAGAAAAGGGCAAAAGGGCACTACTGGGAGACCTAGCTTTGGACTAAACTGGCCCAAAGCGGGCCGGACGCGGCTTGAGCATCCCTCGCGCATCCACCTCTCCCGCGCCTGCCGCTGCAAGGCTCGCGAAGGGGCACCCCGCCGCCGCCGCCTTTTCAGCGGCCGCCGCGGCCGCCGGCGCGGGCGCCGGGGGCGGCACCGGCTCTGCCTGGTGGCGGGATCTACTGCCCCCAAATCACTACCCCCAGAAGCCGAAGGAGATAGAAAATGTCATTCTGATAGGTTTTTGGGGGGGAATTAGTGTTTGTGGGAGTGGTGCCGTTTGTAGGGACAGGCGGCTGCCTGATGTCAGGTAAGACACTTCCAGCTGGTTCATGGCGTCAAAGGTCGTCACCCTCTTCGCTAAGCCCCCAGCAGAAAGAAGCCGCCCTACTCCCCGCTGGCAAAGCTCTGCGCGTGGATATGCACAGGTTTACACTACCCCTTTGCCATTTAGAAACCTCCGCTTCGCTCACT